AGCCCTTTCTTTCCAGTAGAGTAGTGCCCTCCACCATACCAGTTTGTTCTAAATCTGAGAATTTTTATTCTCCAACCATAGCTGTTATAGGAACACAGCCTGCTGTAGAGGTTATGTTTTCAGGAGTGCCCTTACCTTCCCACAGTAAGTAGTCAAACCATAGTCCAACAGTTGGATAATTTAAAGGACCACTATAGGTACCCAGACCTCTTCAGCTCAATGAAGTGGTCTGGGTGCCAGGTCCCTCTAGTTTTAACCCTGCAGCTGAAAACATAGCAGTTTCAGAGAAAATGCTGTTTCCCTGAGGGTTAATCCAGTCTCTAGTGGCTGTCTCATTGACAGCTGCTAGAGGTGCTTCCGCGATTCTCACTGTGAAAATCATAGTGAGAAGACGCTGGACGTCCATAGGAAAGCATTGAGAAATGCTTTCCTATGGACTGTTTGAATGCGCGTGCGGCTCTTGCCGTGCCTGCGCATTCGGCGCCGACGTCCGCAGAGGGAGGAGAGTTCCCCAGCACCGAGGGAGCCCAGCGTTGGAAAAAGGTAAGTGGCTGAAGGGTTCTTTACCCCTTCAGCCCTGCGGGAATGGGACCCTGAGGGTGGGCGGCCAATTAAAACTATAGAGCCAGGAAAGCTAGTTTGTTTTCCTGGCACTATAGTGGTCCTTTAACTGGATCACTGGGCACCTATGTCATATCTGTTCTTCTCCTGTGCTAAAAGCCAGAGGTCTCTCACAGCTAATCCAGGACTCATTGGACAAGGGTATTCATCTTACAGACAATGAGTGTGATGCTGCATGGTCCTCTTTAACTCTGTAGAAATAACTAGATGCTTGTAAAGGAGAAACAAAATAATTTGATGATTTTCTGTTGAGTGACACTAGGGCACTCCTGGCACCATAACCACTTATGTGGGCTATAGTGGTTAAGATGCTTGAAGTGGTATTTTAAGCTGAGTACTTTTCATAGTGCTCGAAAGTGCTCATGCTAAAGTGCTTTAATGATCAACCCTTGATTCTTCTTCCAGTGCAAATAGTTACAAAGTTCAAAAAAGAGGCAACATGGAAAAAGATGCTTCAATCAACATGCACAATAATGCAACAGACACTACTTTAAATAAAACACATGAAGACAATTTCAAGTAAGATATATACATTTTTGATAAATGTCAGTTTCATTATAATTTTTCAAAATATAATATATTCAAAATATTGTAGCATCTATTAAATCGTCATAAGCCTTACCAGAATTTCCATGGTACTAAATATGAATGTCCTGGAATGGCAATTTATATTGGGAAGATGTTTTGGTATTGCATGCATAACAGTCCTTAAAGATTCTCTGGGTCTTCTGTTATATTCCCTAGCGCAGGGGTAGGCAACCTACGGCACTAGTGCCATGCACGGCACTCGAGCTGCCTTTGCACGGCACTCAAGGCTACAAGAGCCAAATAGGCTCTGGGCTGTCAGGAGTCCCAGTGAATCTTCAGATATCTGCTAATACGAAAAGGTGGTGAAGGACAATCCTCCATTTATGTATTGCAGCACGTAGAGGAAGTGATCTCAGATCACTTCCTCACAGCACCTGTGAATGGGAATCCACACTGGAGTAGAGCAGCCCACAGCTTCCTGTTGCAGCTTCCGTCCCCACTAAAACCCAGGGAAGCCTCAGAGCTGCAGAATAACCCTCCCCTCATACAAATAATACAAACACACACACACAGTCCGCACAAACACACCACCGCCAAAAATCCACATACATGCACACAACCCCACATGCAATCTCTCACATGCAATACCCCTAACAGCCCCACACATACTCACACTACCAAACACACAATGTGACATATCCATCCACACACACAATTCCACAAGCAGCCCTCATACACAGCCCAAATTCATAGGTATTATACATGATACCACAAACTATTAATGAACATATACAATATAGTAGCTCATATATGCACAAATACAACGATACATAGCAAATGCAGTATAAATAACACAAGCAGAATATGGCAACATGCACACCTCAATTTAAAGAAATAGGACCGACACGCTATGGGACATCACAATCATATTTCGGCACAGTGCTGCTTAAAGGTTGCCTACCCCTGCCCTAGTGTAAACATTGTTGTGCGTGTGTGCAAATGTGAGTAGAGGTGTTCTATTGAAAACTGCATTATTTAAATATATGTGGTCATCATAATGGAGCAGAGAGTAATGTCATTGGGAGTAAAATATATATTGCTACATACATAGTCTTATATAAGAATGTTTACATTTGCAAGACCCAGACAATATTTATTTAATTCACTGTAGCCTTAAAAAATGAATACAATGAATGCAAATCAGAAGGGAATTCATTAGGTGATTGATAATTTTGCTAAAATAGCTGAGAACAAAGAATTGCGGAGTGGATATTTTTTTCTGGCTTTGCTACAATTGTTTACAATTTTCCTGGTAAATTTCTTATGATTTATGGTTTTGTTTATAACCCTGTTTTTACCATCAAGGCTGGTTGAGCATCATTGGAAATGTATTTAAAAAAAACAAGTCTCTATGTCCTTTTAAGCAGAATGCTGTGCTTCTGGCTCTGTGTATTAACAATGCTTTCCATGTAGACACATTCTGTTTCACTTCTTGTTTTTAAAATATATATATTTGTGTGCTGTTTCATACATATACATTGATTGCAAGTTGTGACACTCTATGGTTGACCGTGCAGTGACTGACATGTCCTTATAATATATTTTCAGCACATCAAAAATAAAGAAATTAAAAAATAAAATAAAAGTCAGGTGTCAAGGTTAACATTCTCTATTGTAATCTGAAGATATTGTACGTTATTCTTCTATGTTTTTTTTTTCTATACTAAATGCAAAGTATTATATAATATTTAGGAAAGCAACGACAAAAATGAAATCAAAAGAAAAATCGAAAGCTGTTGGACCTATCCAAATTGTAAGTAATCATACACGATCATGTTTGTGCTTATTGGACTGGCTTCTAAATAGACACATGGTATCTAGGAATACTGTACCTGTTTGGAAAAAAATCAAGCATGAAATATACATATTAGATTCCAACATACATTGATAGATCAAAACTGATTCATATTACATGTTTTAGTACAGGGCTAGGCAACCTTACCAATGGTCCTCCCCCCTAGTTAGATACAGCAGTAAGCTAATCCAAGTCTCACCCTAGAATTAATGACTCAGGCTATCTTTCATTC